ATTTATAAAAGAGCTGACAATCTCAATATGATGTATTCGAGTGATTAATTATACAATTATACAATTATTTTATTACCATTGAAAAACCCTTTTACAAAAATCTGAAATCTGGCTGCTATGATTAGATGTTTGACGCGAAAGGTAATAATTCTTGGCATCGGTTTTTAACTAAGCACTTAATAATAATAAAAGAAAACACTAAGAATATTGGCTTGCGCTCACGTGAAAAACTCTTGCAAAAAGCATTTCGTACCTAGGAAAAAAGAAAAAGAGCTGTTAGCAAAGTCATATCATTTTTTGAGAATGCTAGACATTATTTTCCGGCAAGAAATATCTCTGTAAATATTGGGTGTTCAAATTAGTTCGGTCCTTTTTTTTTTTGTGATCAAAAATGCATTTATTTCAGAACAAAATGAAAGAACAGATTAATCAAAGTATTGTCCATCTCTGGCTACTACTTTTTCCCACCTCTCAGGCAATTTTCGAATTCCATCTCGAAAAAATGTCTCGTCTTTTGAGACGATCTAAGTTATCAGCCAATTTTCGTTTTCTGCGAAGAAGTAATTTGGTGACCTGCCAAATCGTGCTGCATCCCTCGGAACAACCAGTAATCAGAAGGAGCAATGTCCAGCGAATACAGCGGGTGCGGTAAAATATCCCGCTTAAGCGTTTCCAAAAATTTTTTTACGACTTTTGCAACATCAGGCTGGCCGTTATTAGGCAGAAGAAGAACTTTGTCATGTCTTTGCTCGTATTCCGGCCGTTTTTCTTGTAATGCACGGCTCAAACGAATCAATTGTAGCCTATACCGATCGCCCGTCGATGGAATCACCAAGTTGTAGCAACTCATAGTATACGACACTATTCACCATTCTTCATTCACCATTCTTGAAATGTCGAAACCATTCCCTGCACAATTTATCAGTTGGAGCATTGTCACCAATAAACTTCTACAAGAATTCGATGCGCTTCAGCTACACTTTTCTTCCAATTAAAGCAGAAACATAAAACCTCCCGCAAATGGTGCTTCGTTACCACAAAATTTGACATACTCAACAAAGTAAAAAACAGGGTTTTTGTATGAAACTTAAAGCGATATAAACTGAATATTAAGGACAGATGTCTAACCTCCCTGAAACCACCAGAAACCAGCTGTCGCTATGAAGCATTCATAACAGCAGAGCCATCTCTTAAAAACGGATCTAACTAATTTGTACTCCCAATATTTTACAGCTATTATTGTAAATACTTGTATCTGTTAGTAGTAGTTTCGTACTCTTCCTTTCCTAGAAAAAAGGATAAAAATGAAATGTTCTTCTTTACCAGTGACTTTGACTGCTCTAAAAATATGCTGCCCCTAGCCTTGCTAATTTCTGTACGTTGTAGCTGTGTACTTCTATTTTTCAATTGAAACTGTGGAAATGTTAATGAAAAGAAGCAATTGATTCACCCGAGTATCGAGTTTTCTTATTACCTTGGGAAAAAAACGAAGTACCTAAAATTGCCGTCCGGCCTGTGTAGGGGTTGGGGAACTGGTCGGGCATCAGAAAGGTTCTGGGTTCGAATCCCGTGCAAGGCATAATGTTCTTTCATTCTCTGTACTATCTTTCCTTACTGTGGGAGCAACGTTGGCCCATCTAATATGGTGCCCCTGAGAAAGTGGTCAACAAATCTGCCCTTCAGATGCCTGGTTGACTAAGATCAGTGTTTCCCCAACGTATGGTACGCGTACCCTCAGGGGTACGGGTACAGTTTAGCTAGGGTAAGTGTTCTTATGCGAAATATCTTGCAACAAACGAAAATTTCAAAAACTTTTATTAAAAACAAAGCTAGCCATGAAAATTTAGGATTACGTATTTTTCTATTGACTATTTTTTGCAGAGTTAACAGTTAATAATTAGTGGTGTCAATAGCCAATTGTGATTTTTAACTTTATTCTTCATTCTAAATAGACATATTTTTAAAACAAAATACATTCATTTTTTTATTAGTGGTACACAGCGTTACGAAAAATTTAGAAAGGGTACACAAAAGTCATAAGTTTGGGAAACATTGACCTAGGCCATTCTCCAGGTAGGCATTGGAGAAGAAAAAAAAATATCTAAAATTTTAAAAAAATTGTGTTCGTTTGAAAAAACAACCTATCGGATAAAATTCTTAATCGATATATTCAAACCACTAAGATGAAAAGAAAAAAAAACCTATCCAAAGGATTCTGAAAAAAATCCACGTCTGGTTCGTCTCCACGAAATAATCAATATCTTTTCACCTCTGGCGTGTTAGTTTCTACCCCACCTATTATAGATATATCTTATCAAAACACAAAATTCCTCAATGCAAAGTGTAGATTAGATTTTTAATTCCCAATTCTACAATAAATTTTAATATTTTTCCAGTCATTTACGTCTCCATACGAAATTCCCTGAGGCCGCAGGAAAAGTGGTGTCATCGATTTCAATTTTTTGTTCTGGTTCTTTTCGTTTAAAATGTTTTTTCCGTTTTATTTAAGCACGGTGAGAATCGGAAAACAGGCGTTTTCTTCTGTTTGAATAACGATGTATGGGGTGTTAACCCACAGCAAAGTGTAAACGATAATTGAATTTTCCTGTTTCTTGCTAGAAGGCAACTCGTAAAATTTACGTATGCTCCAGTGTTCTTAACGGTTTTATTTTTCGATATTTATGGATAAAGTGTTATGAGTGATACCGTGTTTCTTCAGTAAAAGTATCCGTTTATTTTTATATTATACCATATGAAACTCATTGTTTAAAATATTGTTCATTTACAAGTTGTCATTGAATTATCATTGTTTTAGAAAACAGGGTGCGTAGAGTTTTTAAAAAGTGCTTAAAGGTGCTTATTTTTGTTTTTTTAAAAACCCTTGAAGGTGCTTTTTTTCAGTGGGTGTTTCTAAAAAGTGCTTAATTTTCCCTTTTTCAAAAAGAGATTTTTCCTTTACTATGTTGATTTTCGCTTCGAATTATGCAAGAAGACACAGTTCACATTGTTCTATTCAACGTTTTCATAATTAATTCAACCCCAATCTATTTTGGAGTATCGTCAGTCCGTAGCGTATGAAAACGCCATTCGTTTTACATGATTCAAAATTTCATGGTTTTTGTCAATTGTCAAAAAACGATGCCATTTTTTTTTCTTTTTTTCTTTTTTTTTATTACATGACAGTAAAAACAAGATGAAAGTGTCAATTATCGAAACTTACCAACCCTGCCTAATTATGATTTTTTTTAAGTGCATAAATTTTTTTTGAGTGCTTGAAAAGTGCTTAAAAGGTGCTTATTTTTTTCCAATTATTTGGCTACGCACCCTGGAAAAACAACTTACTTTTGAGATATTTGCTGGATTCTGACGATCCCTGAAAAGAAAATCCTATGGGACAGTAACATTTAGAGAATTTTAGTATTTAAGTACTAATTACATTGCAATTTAGAGAGTTTTAGTATTTAAGTACTAATTACATTGCAATTTAGAGAATTTAGTATTTAAGTACTTATTATATTGCAATTTAGAGAATTTTAGTATTTAAGTTTTTATTATATTGCAATTTCCTTACTAACAGTGTTTACTATACTTTTTTTTAAGGAAAATAAAATAAAAATTTGTTTTATCTAGAAGAAATTTTGTTTAACTTTACAGATTCTAATAACTGATTTCTTTTTCTTTTTTGGATTTTATTTTCGCAATGAATTCTACGATATTACTTTTCATTAAAATTTAATCGAATCCTTACTTATGTGCACATGCACACAAATAAAGATTTTCCTGGTCAAATGTAAATACTTTCACTATGCACTTAATCATTAATTTGAATAAAGTACTTGTTAAAAAATTTTAGATAAAAATCTTTTATTTTGAAATATTTTTTTTAAAATTGTTATTAAATTCTTATTTTATGGAGTTGTTCACGGTTTGAAGATAAAATACAATAATCTAATATGCTTTTTAATGAGTAGCTGAATTGTCAGTGAAGCTAGCAATATGTTTATACTCACAAAAATATGCATTTTGCAAATGTAATGAAGATATTTACAATTAGTACTTATTCAATTGTCTAAAGTGCTAGTTAAAATTTACTAACGTTATTTTGAAGAAGAAAAAAAATCCAAAATCTAAAATTTTGTATTGTTTTGTACTATATTTTCACTATATTTTTCCTATTTACTATGTTAGTTAAGATATTTCAAATAAAGATACTTATATTTTGTAGAATTGCGCGCAATATGAAGACAATCATAGTAATATAATATGATTTTTTTAATACGTGATAATCCTTACAAATAATTACCACAAAATGCTCTTTACAAATATATATAAAGGATACTATCTCTACAGTGTAGCTCATTCGATTGATTTATCTGATTAAAATTTTTAACTAAAGATATTTTGAGCAGCTATGCGTGGTGTAAAAACAAACATTATCATCTAATGTGTTTTTTAATCTTAGCCTAATAGTCTAAGGACCCATGAAAATATGTACACGTATACATAAATATTATTTTAAAGCTATGATCTAAATACTTTCTTATTCAGTTATTTATTCTATTGTTCTATGTATTTATTAAAATTTTTAAATGATATATTTTGTAGCATTAATCGCGATTTAAAGACAAACATTATCAAACATCTTTTTTTTTAATGGGTTGACTAATAGTCTAAGGACCCATTCCAAAAATGGAGATTACCTCACCAAAATAACTCAGCCCCAGCGCCCATAACATGGGAATTAGGGAGGAGAATTATGTTATACCCATTTCAGCCCCTCTATATTTGACCTCCCCTGTAAATAATTTCAGGGTTTACGTGATAGCTTCGCAGATGGGGTTTTGGGGAAGTCAGAGTGACTTTTTGGTCCGACTCACCCTCGTTTACTTCGTAGAATAGATGAGTTTTTGAGCGATGGATTTCTGTGCACTGCTCACCCCCCTTTTTTCGATCCCCCTAACCCCCTTCTGGATCACGTGACAACGCCTACACGCGGTGATTGCCGGGCGGGAAAGTTCGTCCATTCTCATGCCTGGTGATGGTAGAAGTGAGTTGACTGGCGTGTTTTGTGTTATCATTTTCATCAATATGTTATCATTCAATGGATAATAATTAATCGTGTTGTGTGAGCTTGGATTTTATAGTGAATAGAAATCGTAAAGGAATAACTGTTTCAATCGGATCTGATAAAAGGTAAATTGTTAAAAATATATTTTTAATTCTTTAAATACCTGTTGAACTATCAATATAATTGTTAAAGTTTTTTTTTTTTTTTTTTTTTTTTTTTTTTTTTTTTTTTTNTTTTTTTTTTTTTTTTTTTTTTAATAAGAATTTAAAAGTTCATAAAACTATACGGACATACATAATTAATTCTACAGTGTTTTTACGATTAATCTGTGAGTTTGTTGGCATATTTAAAAGTTTTTTTAAAAAAAAATTTTATTATTTTTTTTTAGTGAGAGTATGATTGTCATTCCATGCCTATTTAATTTCATACATTTATTGAAAAAAAAAAGTTGTCTCAAAATCTAAAAGTGCAATTTTTATAAAATTTATTATAATATTGCAGGGTGCGTAGCGTTGTTTCAAAGTACTTAAAGGTGCTTATTTTTTTATTTATGTTTTCGAAAAGCCCTAAAAGGTGCTTTTTTTATTCGGGATTTGTAAAATGTGCTTAATTTTCTTTCTTTTAAAAAGAGATTTTTTCTTTGCCGTGTCGATTGTCGTTTAAATTACAATAAATGCATGATTTTTCCATTTTTCTCCGCAATATTAATCAAAAACTAGTTATTTTATCATGATTATGTAGTTTTTGAAAATGTTTTTTAATTTTATTGAGAAGGTATAACTCGTAGCCACCCCGAGCAAATATCTACATTTTTTTTTTTTTAATTGCAAGTTTAAAATTTACTTGGCACCTTGGCTATTGTAGTTGGCGCGACAGATCACGATTAATACATGCAACTGCTTATATAGAGATGCCATAGGTGACTAAAAGTATAAGAAATGGTAAAAACTCGAATCTTTTTTTATTTATTTCATGTATACATTTAATTATTCATTCGTAACTACCACTATGTCATACATTGTAAATTATTTAATATTTAAAGTGAAAAAAGTTTTGTAGTCATCTTTGATAGTAAACTGAAAATAATATGCTGGAAAAAGATGCTAATTTAACCTCTTTTTTAATAAATGTTTGCTTTTTATTAATCACAACTTTTACGTTTTTTAGTCGCCTTTGGCATCTTTGCTTACCTAAAAGTATGCAATAATATTAATTTGTTGGTATCAATCATTTTCAATTTAGTTTGGTTTTCTTCCTATATTTGCTATTTTTCCTAGATTTTTTAAAAAGAATGCCATACAATATCACTTGTCTAAAACTAAAAAATAGCAGTGTTATGTTCTAGATTTTTCTTAAATATAAAGTTTCGATTTCAGCCTTTTTAGATCTTTCTTGAAAAGCCGTACAAATAAAAGGAATTTACGAGTTCTCCAAAACGAGGAGTAAAAGATGAAGAAAAAAAAATTAAAGAAATGCTGCAAAATCGCTGTTTTTATGAGATAAAATTAATGCGGTCGATATCGGTATTTTTAGTATCGTGATATATTGTCAGAAAATATCGTTAATTTGCTATGTAGTGCGATATTTGCAATATAACTAAATTACATATATTTCATATTGGACAATGTCTTCTTGCCCAAATAAAGAAAAAAATACTTTTTTTTCCTCCTAAAATACTTTTAATTTTAAAAATTGGAAGAAAACATGTTTTTTGTGGTTCACTACATGTTTTCAGTAAAACCCCGCTATTTTTTAACTTCCATTAATGAAGGGGGAAAAAATTATTATTTTTTCTTTCTTCCTGCACGCGATGTCGAGCATTTAACTTTTTTTTAGAACAGTTTAACGAGGATAGATACGGCACACCCTCGGTCCGTTCGCACGCCGCTCAAAGTGATCTTGAATTCAATTTGATTTTTTTTTTCTGAATTGGTATGAAAAGTACTCCTATTTAAAGATAGACAGAAAGTTTTTAGTTTAACTGCGTGAAAAACATCTTGATCTTGTTTTATGAGCTAAGCGCCTGGGCCGCTCAGCGGCCACTATCCCATCCATCGATTATTAGCTTAAAATATCTTTTGTTAACTATCACTACAGATTTTTTTTTTTTTAAAAATCAAATGGTTGGTTTATATTAACTAATTTTTCACGCGTATACTATGTTAAATAGTAATATTAATTTATTCTACCGAAGTAAATGAGATAAATGAAAACTTGTCGATACGAGCATTTACATTTATAAAAAATATGACCTATCATCAAATAATGATGCTGCACGCTTTGTTACATTATCTGAGTTCGTACGCTCCTGGAAGTATCAATTTTAGTATCAAGAAGTGGTATCAATTTTCTAATAAGGAATCAGATAATACCTTAGAAATAACTTTCACTTTAAACTTAATAATTTGAATCAGTAGATTTTAGATCTAAAAATATTTACTTCGTAATATTAAAATATTCCAACAACTACAAACAAAATAAAGTATAATTTTTCCTCTTATATGAATATTTTCTTATCCAGATGTTTTCAAACCCTGGTTATCAAGATTCGGGCGTTGGTAATCTTAGCGACAGAAATTATTAAATAAAGATAAATAGGAAAATGTTGATGTACAAATGCATTCCAGCCTCAGCTAACGCTTTACGACTAATATAATTGTGGGAATCGTGGTGGCTCAGGGGATAGAGCGCTCGCTTTCCAATGAGGTGAACCGGCTTCGAATCCCAGCTAGTCGATACGAATTCCTCCTCCAGTTTGCACCAACCACAGTGCTGACGTAAAAATATCCTCAGTGTGGTAGACGGATCATGGGTTAGAATCCCTTTGCCGTCAGGCTAACAGTGGGAAGTTTTCGCGATTTTCCTCTCCATGTAACACAAATGCGGGTTAATTCCATCAAGAAAACCTCCATAAAGGCAAAAGTTGAAGTAGATTTTATATTTTGCCATCACGTTTTTATTTATTAAATATGATTTTCTGTTATATTTTTTTCTCAATTCCAATGTTTAATAAGACAAAACAAGGTAATTTTTTGAGTAACAAAATATTTTTAGACCTAATTTGTGAATTGTGAGCCATAAGTGGCACAGTATTAAGCTGCCATTGTGAAGGTCCAAGGTTCTGTCCCCTATAGCGACTTGAAGCTCACACATCTTCAGATTGATGTATACCATCTGGTCTAGGAAATACAGGATGTCATCGCACATTACCGAGCACATTGCCAACATCATGCCGTGGGTCTAAAAAATTATGGAACCTTAACATTCATGATGCCTTTTGCCAACAGCTTGGTTTATGTGGGAGTTCTTTATTTTTTAATTTCTAGATTGTATAAAATTTTAAAAACTAATTTTAATATATTTCTTTTAGAAATTGTAAGTGTAGATTTTTCAATTACATAAAATGCAAAAGAAATTTTTCATCTGTAGATTCTCAACCTAGTGCAATGCAATCACCCTAGATTGGATTTTTTTTTTTTTTAAATCTATAGTAAATACATAGGTATATAATATCACCCCGAACTCATAACTCCCATGCTTTTGAATACTTAACCTAAATTCACGTTTTTTTTTTCGGTATACCATATGGTTCACCGCTATTCGTGGCATACTGAAATCACCATATTACCTTGCTCAGCGATTGCTCTTAATTGAAGCAATAAACTCTCGTTTTCTTTGTTATACAGAATGGAATAGATTTCCCATTCAAAACCCCTAGGGGTATATTACCCCTCATCAAAGGGTGAAGAGAATCTCCCCCTCGGTGCTTTAGTAGGGCATTCTGTGTACAGTGAAGCATGATAATATCGTTTTTATTACTGTGAGCAACATTGAAAATCTTTTTTTTATTGGCGAAAAAGGAAGTGTGTTGGCAATTATATTTTTTATTGCTAAGACCTTCCATCATCAAGCTTGGCGTTGAAGAAAAAAATTTATTGCTCTTGTTATTCCTTCTTGCATTGAATATCAAGTCTTTTTTTGTATACTTTTATTTGAATGCCACAGATCAGTGGTTTTGGGAAATAACGTGGTTACTAACTTTTTTTTTTCTTCCGAAACTGAGTTAAATATCAGCGGGTTCAATTCAGTTTTTCTTTTTGTGAAAAGTTCTATTTTTATGAAATTGTGAGAAATCTATCTACTCTTTTAATTTTGTAAATTTGTGAAAACTGGATCCTGTTTTTGTGAATTTGTGGGGGGAAAAAACAGTTTTATTTTCTGAATCCACACATTGCGTAGAATGTGGTTATTTCTGCTAAGGTCTTTTTGTTGTGAATTTTTTTTTTTTAAAACATGCCTTTTTAGAAGTTATAGTTTGAGAATTATAAATTGATGACGTCTTCGATTTCAGCTTTCAAATGATGAATTTTGTAAGGATTCTTTTTTGTTGTTGTTTTTGAATAAAAACAACAACCATACAAACAACAAACAAACAACAACAACAAACATGTTGGGTCCGAGGTTCGTTTTTTTTTTTTTTTTTTTTTTTTTTTTTTTTTTTTTTTTTTNTTTTTTTTTTTTTTTTTTTTTCTAAATATTCTGTAAAAGGTTCGTTCTTATGATAAAATAATTTGTGAAGGGTTCGTTAACTGATCCAAATTTCCTTTAAGTAGACCGTTTTGTTCAACCCTTTTGTTGTTCATTTTTTATATAAAAACTATTGTGAAGGTTGCGTTTTTGAAAGATTCATTTTCACGATAAAATAATTTATGAGGGGTCCGTTAACCGACCCGAATTTTAGTAAGGAGACCCCTTGTTATGTTAAACTTTTCTGTTGTTCCTTTTTAAAATAAAAACTATTGTGAAGGTTTCATTTTTAAAATAAAACATTTTGTGAAGGATGTGTTTTTACAATAAAATAATTTGGTGAAGGATCTGTTAATTGACCCAAATTTATCCTAATTATACTACTCCGAAATAGCTCCACCAGTATCCGAGTCCCCAAGATAAAAAAAAAAAAAAATAGGATGGATACTTGTTGGGCTAACATGCCTCCTTGGGCCGTCGTGCCACTGAATTTAGTTTCAATTTTTTAGTCTCCTCCTTTCTTTCTAATGTGTCTTCTGATTGGATTAATTTTTGTTTCACTAATCGACAAAGTTGAATACCGATTATTTAAGGAACT